TCCCCTCCCCTCCTCCCCTCAGTCTCCCTCCTCTCCCTCCCCTCCTCCTTTTCCTCTTCTTCCCCCCCCCACCCGGGAGTGACAGCCCTGCGGGGCTGCCCACCTGCTCTCCCGGTGCCCTGGGCTGCAGCGGGCACATCCTCTGCTTCTCAGTCCCCTCCGTGCCATTTCCCTGGTGTCCTCCATTTGTCCACTGCTCCTTTCCACCCACACTCCAGGGGCTCGGGCGTGGCGTGAAAATCAAGCCAGTCTTCTCTGCCAACCTCTCTACCCAGCACTCTGCCTCTGCGTACCTGCTTCCTTCAGGGTTTTTTTTTTTCCAATTCTGCTATATTTTTAGTGAGAAATGCACACACCTGGTATGACAAACCAATTTGATATCCGTGCCTCTCGATATACTCTGTAATAGGAAAGAACTCCACACCAAATAGTTATAACTAAATTTGGTTACAAGGAAGCATCAGGCACCCAAATTGAAAGGCCCATATACCCCCTCAAAGGTCATGTTTATTAGAACCCCCTTAGTAGAACTACTTACAATAAAATACAAAATGAAATAGTTCAAGTCAGACTAAAGAATCATTCCTGGCTTTAGAAGCCTGAAAAGACACAACGGCACAATAAATCGTGAGTGATAGCCTGGTTTTCTTTGACTTTAAGAACACTATTGGGGACAGGTGACGATCTGAAAAGCCAAAGACCTATGAATACATAGTTCCTTTTCTGTCAACGTTAATTTCCTGGTTTTGATTACTGAGCTGTGCCAGTTTTTAGGAAACACACAGAGACACAAAAAGGAGAGTTCACCTGCAGCTCTCTCAAACTTGACAAGTGATGTGCACATACACACATTGTAAACAGAGAAAAGAGATAAGATGACTGTGGCAAATGTTCGTACAGGAAGTCTGGGTATAGGATACATGGGAAATCTTTGTACTTGTTCGACAATTTCTCATGAAGTCTGAAACTATATCTGGTGCACTCTTCCTGTGTATCTTAGACACTAAGCAGTGTCCGTCTTGCAAAAGTACGTACATGAGGAATCCCTGAAACCAGGAGAGTTACACCAGCATCTGTAAAACAAGGAAATCCCTTGCCCTGTGAACAAACCATCGCTGCCCATGCACTCAACATGCTTGTTCTCATTACATTGGCCTACAGTGAGCCATGCCGAGACACTCACATTATGCTACTGGGATGGGAAAAAACCTCTGATGTTCAAGTCATGTCGGTAGATGGCACAAGAGAGACATCCCAGGAGCCCTGCTGCTTAATAGAACTAAATGGAATTGGTGCTATAACTAAACTTCATACAAAGGGATGATGAAAAGTAAAGCCCTGTATAGCAAGGGGGAGGGAAGGGCGCACATAGCTCCAAAGAAGCAGGTTTCACCTTTGCAAAGTAGTGAGCCGCTGCCCCCTTCCCTGCAGAATTTCCATACAAAAGGGAGCAGATAGGGATGAGCACAAAGACATGCCCACAGAGCAGCATAAAATCCCACAGGAGGGATTCAGCAGACCCCGATCCATTGGGGCTGTCTACTCCCACGGGAATCACCTGGCCTGAGGGCTTGGAGTCCCATGTGGCTTGAAAAAACACCTCTACCTCCCCGCATCATCCTGATATATCCCACATTTCAAGTCCTGAAGTGTGTCACTGAAGTCCTGCATTAAGTCCAACAGCATCAGGGATGGGGCTTTCCCCTGTTAAAGTTGTCTCCCTCCACCTAGCAATAAATCCCTAATACTGCAGATCAGTCTTCCTCGTTCCCACACCTTCACAGGTCTATGTGTGTTCATGCAGAAGTTCATTACACCGCTCTCCTATAGTGTTTTATTATGTCTGGTATTTTGTAACTACAAAAGGTCTGCTTTGCAATATGCAGTATGCCTGAACATTTCAATTCCTGGAAGCAGTCTTCAGGCTGAAGTGGGTGCCTGGGTTGAAGGGACAATGCACATTTGGCTTTGTTAATATGACTAAAGGGCGGGGGTGAATATACCTGATGTCTCACAACCTCGCTAACAATTTGTATGCTCCAGCTTTTGAATTCTGGCCAGTCTATAATGGAATATGTGCTATT